TCAGGTATTGACTGAACTGTGTTCCCCCAAAATTCAAATGCTGAAGTCCTAACCCCCAATACGTCAGAATGTAACTTTATTTGGATACAGGGCCTTTAAAGAAGTAATGTTAAAAAGAGGTCATATGGGTTAACCCTAATCCAATCTGACTAGTCTCCTTATAAGGAGAGGCAATTAGGACCCAGACAAGATCATGTGAAGACACAGGGAGAAGACGGCTGTCTACAAGCCCAGGAGAGACGCCTCAGCAGAAAGCAATGCTGTTGACACTTACATCTCAGATTACTGCACACCCCCCAATGAACTGTGGAAAAAAAAATAAACATCTGTTTATTTTAAGCCACACAGTCTGTGGTATTTTGTTGTGGCCACACAAGCAGACTAAGACACAGGGCGATCAGGTTCACCAGAGAGCACTGCTCCCAAAGCAGGGAGTACCCAAGATTGTAGGCACTCCTCCGCTCCCCAGCCACCTGTCCCAAGGCCTGGAACTTTCTCTGGTCAGAAAGTTTTTGATATTGAGCTTCTATCTGATTGTTCACCTTGCATCCCTTCCCCACCCTGCTGGCCTAAGTACAGGGGCACCAAAATGGTCCCTAAGCCTCCATGGTTACTGCCCCCTCAGTCCGCCATGCAGGGGCAATTCTCCCTCTTCCCTGGTTCTATTTCTGGACATGTCCAAAGTTAAATGACCTGTCCTGGGTGGCAGTGAGATTGCTGTCATCAAGAGTTGGACAACTCTCCTAACGGAGCCACCTGAATTAAGGGTGTGGGGATGCCAAATAAGCTGAGCTCCAAGAGAGGTGGAAAGGGATTTGGAGTCAGACCCCTGGATTTAAATATCAACTCCACTTTCCTACCTCATGACCCCGGGCAGGACGGCTGACCTCCCCACACTTTGGTGTGGCCATAGGTGCAATAGGGTCCACACAGCAGGAGCTGAAGTCATGCAAAGTGGGTTCCGCAGGTGAGGATTTCCTCCCCTTTGCAGGTCCCTTCCCCTGTCAAGCCTCAGTTTCCCCACTGTTGTAGGTGTGCCTCAGGGAGCTCTGTGATGGGAAGCCAGCCTACAGACAACAGAAGTCCCCACAGATTTTTCTTCCTTCATTTTGCTACCATGATGGATCAGCAATGTCTTGAGGGAGCAGAAGATGGCTCTGAGAGTCACAGCGCTGCACACACGAAACCTGAGTGGGGAGTTGGCAGATGCAGGCAGTGAGGAAGGGGTTAAACACAGAGCCGGTCCTGACACAAAGAGCTCAGTCAGGGTCTCCTGGAGGGCTTCCCAGAGGAGCAGGAGCTATGAGCCCAGCGCTGACTACTCCTCACAGAGAGGGGGCGAGGGGCAGCCCAGGCCAGAGATGACCTCTGTTCCCAAGTGCCTGGCTCAGTGTCCCCCGCCCTCCTCTCTGAGTCATCCGGTGGGCTCCAGACGGACTGGCCTGGCCTCTCCCCTGGCAGGCCTGAAATAGGAGACACAAGCTACTTCCAGAAATGGCCTCACCTCACCTTGGACACACTATCCTCTCCCTATTTCGAGAGGCTAGCCCCCTACCAGAGGCACTCCCAAGTGGGAGTGGCCTTGGGGGTAGGGGCAGGATACCAAGGGATGTGCCTTGGCTGTTCCCTGCACTGAAGTCCCACTAAGTGCCTGCCGTGGGGCCAGCCCTGTAATTTCCCAGGTGTTACACTCCACGCACCACCGCGTCTGACACCTCCCTCATCCTGAGAGGCAGGACAGAGAGCATCTGGTCTGCCCAGTGGGCAGTGAGGCATGGAGTCCAGCAGGTGGGGCAGAGGAGGACAGACTCACCCAAGCTCAGCATGGGTCCAGGGATGGCCACAGGACCAAATGCCCAGAACAGAGGCCTCTGTGGTTACCAGGATTGCCCAGGGTTAGTGCTAGTGGTTAGCTAGTTGTTCTTTACAAGCTAGGCAACCTTGGGGTGGTTTCTTAGCCCCTGTGCCCTAGTTTCCCCATCCAGGTATACTAGTTGCCCACCTTGTAGGGTGGCTGCAAGGATGGATGAGATGGTAACTGTAAAGTGCTAGGCACCATGGCTGGCCTGTGGCACAGCCAGGGCTGGCTGCCAAGGCCCAGGGCCTTCCCCTTTAGCCCTCTCTTCAGGCCCCTCAGATGCCGGCCACAGCCACTACTGACAGAGACCCACGAGGAAACACAGCAGCGAGCCTGCTCCCCAAAAGCAGCTCAAAATGACTTGTTGACTCAATCCCATTTTACAGCAGAGCAAACTGAGGCCACAAGAGGCAGGCACCTTGCCAAAGGATTTGAACCCGGGGAGTTTGGCTTCAAAGGGTGCATTCTTAACCCCTGTACTAAACTGCCTTTCGTGAAAACCACCACAGTAACCTGATGACACAGGTACTATTACCACCCCAAGTTGGTAGATAAGGACACTGAGAGCACAGGAGAGAGACAATTTGACCAAGGACAAGCAGTTACAAAGGGGAGAGCTAGGGGTTTGAGCCCAGGAGTGCTCTGAAGCACACATGCCCACCCACTACATGATGAGTTGGCCTGCTCCGGGCTCTCCCCAGGGCACAGGCAGAGCTGCCCCGGGTATCACATCTCCCACCCAGGGTCACTCCAGGGAACACCAAGCTCCCTCCCAGGCTCTAGCTGGAACCACTACTGAGCACCCGGGGTCTTGGGGGCTGGGCACCCTTACCCCAACTAGCACATAGGAAAAATGAGGCATGGGGACTTGCCCACAGTAGAGAGACAGACACAGGCTTCCTGCTTCCCTCCCTTGACCAGAGAATTAGCCAGAAGAAAACGTCTTTACCTCCCAGCCCCAGAATCTAGAACCTTCCAGAAGTGCCCCAGCCTTGCAGGACTGGGATACTGATCAGTGCTTCTGCTCCAGTGCAAGTCCTGGCTCACTTTCCTGGCCCTGGGGACACACAGTTGGACAGGCAGGGTCTGCCCTGGTGACCAACCCAGCTGCAGAGCTCCAGGCCCAGGCCAGGGAGTAGCATGGAGGAGCCAAGAGCCCCTTCCCCTGCCTTCCCCCCTGCCCTTCAGGCATAGGGCCAGCTTCTCAGTCTCCAGACAGGAGCCCCTCTGTCCCTGCACGACGAGCTGACCTTTAACTGGCCAAAAGGTCCCACTGTTTCTCTCCCCTGCCCGGGGGAGCAGACGGGAGGAAAATGGAAGGCGGCAAGGGGGTGGGAAAAGGGTCCAGGCACTCCCCCCAGCTTCTCCTTTCCCCCGTGCCTGCCTCTCCTGCTGCCATTCCCTCTGCCGCAGCAGTCTGCCCCCTCGGCTCCCTCACAGCCCACCGGGTCCCTAGCCCTGGACTTCCCACAGCCTGTCCTTCTTCTCCCTTAATCATTTTACCTTCTGTTTGCCTGGCACGTTATAGTTTACTAAATGTTTTTACATTTATTACTGCATCAAATCCAAACTAGGGAGAGATGGGAGACATTGGAAATGCCTTCAAATTGCCAAGTGTTCTTGTTAAAAATGCAAACCTCCCCAGAGCAGTGAACCATTAGGCTAGCAGCCACTGGTACCTCAGGACGAATTCATTTCATCCTCTGCCTTCTCCTCAACCACTTAGCACACACAGGTGGGGTCGGGGGGAAGAGTGCTTTTGTGGGGGGCAGCCTCAGCAGGGTGGGGTGTCTGGGCCCTTGGGGGCTGGAGGGGGTGGGGAACTAAGGTGGCTGTGAGGACAAGTCATCAACTTTGTGATGGTGCGTGTAAACAACATGCTTTCGTCAAGCCCAAAATTCTAGCCCATCCACCACCCTCGTCCCACTTGCTCTGAAATCCATCACTCATACTGGTGTCTCCGAAGCTAGAGGGAGAAGCTTTACTTGAGGAAAGGCCTAAAAGACTTTCAGAGTCAAATACAAAACCTTGGAGAAGTAGGCAGCAAGAGGCAGGGGAATGCAAAGGGAAGAGGGCGGGTGAGGCCAGCAGGCCTGGTTCTCACCAGCGCAGCTCTGCCATGCGGCCCAGGATTCCCAGCAGCACAGCCCCACGCTAGGACCAGCTTCAGCTGGGAGAAGCCCAGAGACTGGGAGCTGGCGTCCTTGAAAGGACATATCCCCAGCTGTGGAGGCAAATAAGGAGATCCTTCCTTCATGCGGGTCTCAGTGACCCCCAACTGAAAACTGACAGGGACTAGGCAGAGGGTCCTGAGGGTCCTTCCAGCAACCACAGTCTGCAGTCCTAGCACCAAATCAGGAAAACAAGCCTATGGTCAAACCCCAGAGAGGCGTCTCAAGAGTTCCTGGGCTCCAGGAACGCTCACTTTGGGAGGTCCTGCCCCAAATCCCATCACACATATTCAAATGAACCACAAAAACAAATATAACCGATATATAGCTCTCAAGAACTGAACTGAGTTGCAGTTGACCATTTGGCATAATGTGAGGTTTTGTAGCTAAATTAAACATGTATCAATTTCAATTCTGTAGCTTGCTTTTCAAACTTTGGAGCCCAACAGTTTGTTTCCAGCTCTCCAGCATTTTCGTTGGCTATTGATGAAAGCCTGTAGGCCCTAGATGCTGCATCTACATTCCTAGTGCTTTGACCCCAGGGAACTCAGGCCACAAGCCTGGAGAAACCCAACAGTACGTTTAAAAGAATTCTAACAAATGCTGTGTTTGCAGCACGGGGATACCTAAGGTGCCATGAAGGCCACCTCCTCCGAGGAGCTCTCCCAGGTCAATTCAGCTCTCAAGAATCCCTCCCCTGCCATTCTCAGAGCACTGGCCATCCATGAGACTTGTTTGGCAACAACGGTACACCCTCATGTGACTGGCTGCATTCTTTAGCTGTCTGCATTAGTTAACACATTCATGTGTTATCTTCCCCCACTGAACTGTGAGCTCCCAAAGGTGCCTTCGCCTTCTCCCCCACCTCCCATTGAGACCAGTGTGGTGTCACGGCCAACCGAGAGAGCAAGGCCATGTGAGCAGGGACTGTGCAGCTTGGATGGGGGCTAGAAGCCAGCGATCCCACCTACCCTCCATGCCATCATCTCGATGCCCATTGAAGTTGTCATAGGAGTCCCAGCGGATGAGGGGGTCAGCAGTGTTATAGTCCACGGATATGCTTGGCCCATTCTCCAGGTGTTCCAGGCCTAAAAGGAGTGGGAAAGGGCAGGAGGACAGGGAGGGGAAAGAAAAAATGATCAGCAGCTGGAAAAACAGGAAGTCCACCAGCTCTCCCACGAATGCTCCCTAAGGGACTTCTCCTTTTCCTGACTACGGTGGGGTGGGCCCAGTGTCTTAAGTTGGACAGAGAACCCAGGGTTCTGGTTTCTTAGTCTGGAGAAGGCTCATGCCAGGTCATGAGGGTAAATCAGGACAACGGCACTGAGCAATGAAGACACCCCCACCCAGGAGAAAGCGGGGGGAACCCTCTCACTGAGTGTTTGCCTCTTTTTCTTAGGTGTCCCAGGGACCCCTGGACCAGTGCCAAGAGACCCGAGAGTCAGTCTTTGGAGTGAGGTGAAGTATGGGAGATACTTGTGATGTCCCACGGAGTCGGGGACAGCAAGGAAATCATAGCCTTGACACTGAGAAGGCACAAGGTCATAACAGCCATCCCCCTGTCTCCCATTTAAGATGCTTTCCACTCCAGGGAGAAATCTGAGAAGCAAGGCAGAGTGTCTCCTACACAGCCAGAGAAAGCCCACGATGAAGATAGCACAGGCTGCAAGTCAGGTTTTCTGAGGCAAGTCACTTTCCTGATCTGGCAGCCCTTTCTCCCATCTATCCAGAGTCCCTCCGTCTGTGACCTAACTTCATCTCTTCCCATTCCGTTCTCAGATAAGATGGAGAACAGCTGGTCTCCACATATAACCAGCCTAAAGGCTGAACGCTATTATTAAATTGGCTTTCTCATCTTCAGGTTGAATCACCTCAGTTCTCATACATTCTTCTTGTCCATTCAGCACCTCTGAGTGTCCCCTCGGCAACTCCCTCCATCCACCATGGCCCTCAGTCTCTGAATATAATAGGATGATGACCTAATGGGACCAGAACAGTTCATCCAACTCAGCGCCTCTTGGTCTGCTTTTTTATTTTTATTATCCAGAGATTAAGTCACTGTTCACATTTAGCTGGGGGTCCACTATGATACCCAGACCCTTTACAGCTGGCCTGCCTCTCATTCACAGTAACTTGATCATTATGGAGTAGATCAGTGGGGGGCTGGTGGGAGTGGGGTAGGGACACGTCAGGATGGAGGGAAGTGGGTGGAAGAATGAATTCTAATGTAGCTTATACCTTGAATTTTCTCAGGCCCATAAGAAAATACAAATTCCACTTTGCCATATTCTGGAAATCGATCATCTAAAAAAGGAGAAGAAAAGCAAAAATGGGCAATTAATTCCCAAAAGGACTCCATAAAAAGTTTTCTTCTAGAAAATATTAATATATGTATATATTGTTGATAGTATATTTTATATACAAATATATATTATATGAAAGTATTTAACTCTATGTTTAGATACATATAGTTATAATTTAGCTTCTGTCTTCCTAGCCTGATATAACCATTTCTAACCATTTCTATTTCACGTTTTGCTAGCAGTTACTGCTAAGACGGTAGATAATAGTCACTGTTTTTATGCCACTATTTCTAGAGATGCTAGTTTTAAGTAATCTCTATTGATTCACCATGATGAAGGTGAATAATCTGGTTCACTTCTACTCCCCCACCTCCATCCATCTTAATCTATCATCATCGTCATCATCATCTATTCTACTGATTACCTTTACACTTTAAATAAATACTATAGTTAAGCCTCTGTTTCTCAATCTGCCCATTTTCAGTGGTGTCTCCTGACTCCCTCCAGAAGAGGAAATTTGCCCTTCTCTTCTCCCATGCCACCAGCCCCCTTTATTTTGTGAGCTATTCTTTTATGTTTCCTTGTTAAGACTGATAACATTCACATTCTATTCTGTAATTAGAATGGCATCCTCTCTTTTGCCCTCCTGGCTCTAGTCCAGGGAAAGCGCATTAGAGAACACTCTTCTCGGGCACAAGCCAGGCTACACCGGGGGATCAGGCCCCCCCTCCTCTGAGCCCCAGCCGTACTCTGTTCTCTGCCTGAGCCCAATCTGGAAAGATCACCATCCAGCACTTGTGGGAAGAAAAGTCACAGTAGAGATAGTGTCTGCTCCCTGGGGCACTGGGGCACCCATAATTCCTATACATGTCTCCATCACTGTGGAAATCACTTCATAGGGTTAAGTTTGTGTGTCTCGTACCCTCATGAGACTGTGAGCCCCTGACTTCTTTCTGTTTGCATTCCCAAGGTCTAGCACACACCTGGCACATAGAGACGCACAAGTGATACTTGCTGGAGAGATGGAGAGATGGATTAATGAATGGATGGATTTGGATAGATGTGGATATGTCCTGGGTATAGACAAGACCTCAAATGGTTAGAGGAAAGAAACAAAGGGTGACACCTCCCTGAATACCCCCCCTTGCCTCAGAAAATGGTCCCCACTTTATTGCTACCATAGCTCCTCCATTACTGCTCTTCTATCCTGGGGTATAATTATTCCTTGCTAGGTCTTTCACTCCATTCAATGAGCCCACCTTTGAAGGCATCATCAAGGTCTTCCTTCCCAAAGACGACCCCCAGGTCATGGATGGCGCATGTGTGGAACTGTGCACGAAAGATGACATCCCGTGCTGGGCTCCGGAACTTCTTGTGGTAGCACTTCAGCTGTGTGGGAAAGACAGCAGAACCCATCAGGGATCTGAGGGCGGAAAATCAGGCCCAGAGAGCCTCCTCATCAGCTGCATGACCATCCCCAAGGCTCACCCCAAACCCAGAGGGGGAGACAGGATCTCAGAGCTGTCTCGGGGAGCTTCTAGGACAGCAGAGCATTGAAAGCCAGTCATGACCTGTGGGGACAAAACTGTCCTCCCAAGAAGTTTCTCCATACAGGTCAGAATGGACAAAGTAGGAGAGCATTTAAATTGCAGGAGGAAGAACTGATGGTAGAATTGAGGGAGTCCTTCTAAGCAGCAGGAAGCCAGGAGGAACAGTTTGCCCTGAGAGACTTTCCCTGGAGATGTCCCCGAACAAGAGACAAGCCCAGGGAACAGGGTATCCAACTCTGAGGCAGGGAAACAGACAAGATCTCAGAAGCTGGGAGGTCGTGCGGGAGCCCTGAGCCTATGCCCCCCAGGCTGGCAGCCCACCAGGAATGGCCGTCTTGTCTGGCAAGACAGGAGAGGAGAGGAAGAACAAAGAAAGTAGAAAAAATAAACTGGGAGGAGGGCGCTTGAGACAGAGGGGCAGCGCTCACCAAGATGTCCCCCTTCAAGAGCAGCCCAGGCTCGATGGTGATACAGATGCTGGTCTGGCTATCTCCTTGGACGTTGCTAAGGGAGACAGGCAGGCAGAAGGAGACAGAGTGGCTGAGGGGCGGGCAGTGCACTTTCTCCCTGCTGCCCCTCTGCCAGAAGGCCACTGAGAGCTCAACGGCTCCACCCCTCAGCCCTCCCTGGGAGAGGCCCTCCCGCAAGAGATTCTAGGCACGAGATTCCACCCTGCCCCTGGTCCTCAGCCTCAGGCCCCTCATTCCCATGGGATACCTACTAGATTCCAGATGTGTAAACAGGTTGCATGGCCTGGTATATCCGGAGGAATGGCCGACACCCTAGAAGGGAGCAGCGGTGTTAGCTAAGCCAGCAGAAGCAGTGGGAGGAAGCGGGGGTGTGGGGAGAGAGTCAAGGAAGGCAGCACTGGGACTGGACAGGTAGGACGGGGAAGAAACACCAACTTTTCATTTGAAAGGCATTGTTAAGTTTACAAAAAACATTGCCACATTCAATACCACATGGCAGCAGGCATTGTTAGTATCAAACCCATTTTTCAAATGAATAGACTGGGGCTCAAAGAAAGCTCCGACAGTGGTACACTTGAGACTCCAGTCCAAGCCTACATAGGATTTAACCGCCCTCAGCTGCCTCTGAAGACAGGCAGGGGAGGGAAGCCAGAGGGCTCAACAGGTACCTCCTTTAGACTCGAAGTTGGGGATGCCGTGCATGATCACGTGGTGTAGAAACAAGGGCTTGTTGTTCATTTTGATGGAGCCAGAGAGCAGGCCACTGAAGTAATGCACATACCTGGAGCAGGGAGAGGGGCAGCTTCAGCCAAGGAGTGCCTTGTGGGGCACAGGATTCCATTCCCTTTTATCCCAAAACACTGCCCTACTCAACCCCCTACCACCACCCTCCAGTCCTCCTGGAGGCTGGATCTTGGCCCCAGCACAGTCCTCCCTTGCTGCCTGTAGCTCCAGATAGGGAGGACAAACAGGCACTGCTACATCTGGAGTGAGGCCAAACCACACCTCCCACTTGGGGTTTGCTAGCGCCCTCTGGTGGTCACCATGAGCCTCTCTTCCCTGCTTCACTTCCCAACCCCGTATTCCTCCTCGCATCCCTGCCCAGGCATCACTTAGCTGCACACGGCTGCACAAGGCAGACTAACCAACCACGGAGCAGCTCTAACACCCTTACACCAAGCTCAAACCAAGCTTTCTGCTTATACTCACAGGCCCCAGTTCTGTCCCAATAGACCCATCAACCACATGACAGTCCAGAAAATAGGAAGAGCTCAATAATTGCAGTCCTTTGCTTTGTAATATCGTGCTGACACATATGAAATACCTCTATACATCCAAGTGGGAGACAACTAACTTCCACTGAGTATTTCTATGTTAGGGTCAAGATCCCCCAATTGTTTTAACAAAGATCTTGTTGGAAGAATGCAAGAAATAACCAATCTTCACTCCTCCTAGAAGGGAAGGGAAACTAGGGCCAGAAAAGGTCACTGACACACAGCAAGAACACAGAAAGCCAGGAGTGGGTGGGTAAAGAAGGGAAGAAGTCTCAAGTCCAATGCATCTGCCAGAATGAGACGTCAGTCCTTCTGCTGTGGACTGGTCACTGCTTCCTCCTTTTCTGATTGGCCAGAGGATGCCAACTGGGTCAGCTGGACCAATGAGAATGCATCCTGAGACTCCTCAGGGGCCAATGGGGCTCTTTGAGACAGGTAGGACCAGATGCACATGACCATGACAGTGGTCCCCTCTTGTCTCTAGGCTCCTTGGCCCACCTCCAGGCCTGTGGGCCTCTGTCCATGGGCTGGGGTGGGGCCACCTCTGACTACCTAAGCAAGAACAAGCAAGATAATCTGATGGGCAGTGCTAGCTCCTATTCAGCCCCTGCCCAGCCCCCAGCCCCATTACTTAAACCGGAAACCTGGGATGGCGGGTTCCTATCAAATCTCCAAATCATGCCAACAGGATGTGTCTGTGCACTGGGGACAATGAGTCCGCGGGTGGGGTGACAATGAATGGGGGAGCTGCAAAACCCCTCCTTCTCTCTCTCCCTGCCCCCCTCAACTGCAGCTGCTCCATTCCCCGCAAACAACACTGATGAGAAGGCAGAAAAGTGGCAACAAATGCATAGTAAACCCAACAGTTGCACTTTCACATTTGGGTGCAAAAAGAATTACCCACCCATAGCAGATGTAATCACAGATACAAACTGCAAGGCAGAGACATATAATTCAGCAAACACACCCTGTCACCCCCACCTGCATGCTGTGTGAGCACACACTGAGCATAATCCTATTCCTGAGGGAAAACATTGGCTTTCGGCTTCAGAGATGCCCATTCTCTCTGAGCCACATCTTGCCATTATCATAATGTCACGTTCCTCTATTTATACCCTTTATCCTTCAAGGTCAGGGGCCAGACTCATGACCAAGGCCACCACCAGCCATACATAGCAAGCCGGGGACTGAAGAGCGGGTACTTGAACAATAGTTTTTTCCTCCCTGGGAAGACTCCAACTGATCTACAGCTGCTGTGTCTGGCAGCCTGGCCAGAATTTTCTGCACATAAGACATCCTGTTGCTGATCATTAACCCAGAGGCTGGCTACCTCTGTCCTATGCTAGGCATAAGGTGCTAGATTGCCTGAGAACTCATGCATTTCTGCTTGGGCTTCCTGCTACAATGGCGGAGAGAGTCCCCAACAGGGCCAGGACACTTCCAGCGAGGCAAGCAAGGTTGGGGAGATAGAGTGCAAGCTGGGGACCCCAACATGGAGAGGCTGGAAAGCTCCAGAACCTGCAGCCAGGGGATCCTGCTTGCCTGTCAGTGTTCTGTGGGGCTAGAAAAGTCAATGGGATGCCTGGGCCCAAAGGCCTGTGTGATTGCTGTTTCCTCTGCTTGGACTCCACGCCAGACCCTCACTTGGACGCTTCCTTCTCCCTTCTCAAATTTCACCTCATACGTTGCCTTCTCAGAAAGGGCAGTCCATTTGAATCAGACCCTGTGCCCACCTCTATCTCCCCCTAGCCCATCATGTTCTGTTTTGGTTTCTTTTCCCGTTTGAAGCACTTCTCACTATCTGACATTCCCTTGGGGGCTTGTGTCCTTAGAAATGATCCCCTAAGAGGTAAGCTTCATGAGACTTCACCTGAGAAATTCAGCACGACAGCCCCAGTGAGCAGAGCTGTGTGACACATCACAAACACTGTGGCAGGCCCACGGCTCCAGCCACATAGGGCCGGGCCTCAGTCCCAGGCACCAGTTCTCCCCTCCTGGCCTACGTTTCCCTGCAGTTTCTGGCTCTTACTCCCCTGCAGCTTCCCTAGACTTCCCTGGACTGGATACCACCTGTGCCTCCCTGGGGATCAGACATCATTAAACAGCATGCTGGACACAGAGTGGAATATGGGGGCAGCCCTCAGGACAGTGGGCAGCACAACCTAGGGGCACTGCCCTGGCCCCACTCACAGGCTCCCATGGACATTCTAGGTCTGCCACTACTCACAGTGGGCCCTGGCCACATCGAGTCCCCTCCCTAGGCCCAAGCTTCTCATCTGTAAAATGGGAATGTCTGGCCTCAAGTCCACCACTGCCAAGAGGTGCTCCCTGACCACCCTCACTGATCCCCCATCTCCTCCCAGTGCCTCTGCAGGACTCCATTCTCCTGCTTTCCTAACACGGATCACTACCTGAAACCACCTTGTTGGGATATTTACCTACGTAATGTCCTTCTTTCCCAAGAGAATATCAGCTCACTAAGGACAAAGGACTTTGTCCTCTTCAACGAGGTATCGCCAGCACACAGAAGGTAGTAGAATGCCTAAAACTTGCTGAATAAATTTATGAATCCACCCCTGCCATGCTTCCTGCCCCAGATGTTATGGACTTCACAAGGCCACATGGTTGAAAGCCCTCAGTAAAATTTCTGAAGCTCTCCCAGCAGCAGGGGGCCCTTATCATGAGTGTCTGTGACTGCCCCAGGGCAGACAGCAGTGACATCAGCCTCCTGGAGGCTCATCCAAGCATGGACGCAATCCTCTGCCAGGACCAAGAATGGCACTGCCTTCTCTACATGCTGCCTCCTTGCACCCAGACCAGTGCAACTCCCGCTCATAGCTGAGGAGCTCCAGCCCTGGCCTCAGCAGCCACCTGCCAGCTGCCCCTGGATTCTCCAACATTCTTGAGTTCTCCCACTCCAGGCTGGCACCTGAGCATGTGGGTTTGGTACATCCCCACCTGGGTGCAGCTGTCCCATTCCCCACACGTAAGTGAGGCTAGCCCACATATACAGCAAGCGCGCGCACACACACACACACACACACATTCACACGCATGCCTGTGCACATGCACTGGGCCATGAGCCCCAGAGACCCACCTTCTCTGGGATGGCTGGCCAATGGGCACAATCTTATCCTCATAGAACCGCTTCATTGCAAACCGGTCCAGAGCCTGATCGGCACTGCAGGGAAACAGGTAGTCAGAGGAACCAATTCCCATGTCTGAGAATCCCTCGTGTCCCCACCCGTGTTCCCCCAGACCTGCAGAGCCCTCCAGCCACCCTGTGCTGAGAAGCTTTCAGGAAGAGAGAGCCTCAGCACCTCTCTATCCTGCATGCTGCAGTGTTCAGCCCAAGGCCTTTGCAGCCAGACAGCCTGGGGCCCATCTCAAGTCTGCTACTTCTCTATTAGTCCTGCATCTTGAGACAGATTATTTAAATCTTTCTGAACTTGATTTTCCTTTCCTGTCAAATGAGGGTGATAAGAACCTTTCTCATAGATAGTTATGGAGATTAAGTGAAAAACAGCTATAAAGAGCTTGGCACATGTGGGCACACAAGTAGGTACATAGGCAATGCTCACCATTAAGGAAGATTAGGGTGGTCTGAGTTTCTGAAAGTTAGAAAACTACCATCCTATTGGCAAGCCCCCCACAGAGCATTCTACCCATCCTCAAAGAGATCATTGTAAAATGAAGAGACAGATCACATAGTTCCTCTGTTTGTGACTCTCCAATGGCATCCCATCCCTCTTAGAATAAACGCTACAGTCCTTATTGAGGCCCACAAAGCCCACAGGCTCCGCCCCCTCCAGCTTCTTTGCCCCTTGCTCAGTGGGCTCCACCCATGCCAACCGGGCTCCACCCATGCCAACCTCACATCCCCACCACAGTCCTTTGTCCTTCCCCTCCTGTCTGCCTGGAATCACCTCCCACCCTCCCAGACTGGATATGACTCAGCCCTGTCCGTCCCTCTCCACTTAATTCTGGTCTCTGCTCAAATATACCAACTCAAGAGGCCTCCTCTAACCACACATCACCCCCTCCTGCTGTCTTGCCCGAGTCCCCGTCCTCTCACAGTACATGTCACCTGCTGTACTGAGGAACTTGTTTACTAATTTAATGCCCATGGGCACGGTGGCCTGGCTTTGCCCACTGCTCTACTCCCAGCACCCAGAACAGCGCCTGGCACAGTGGCTGCTCAACAACCGCTGTTGAGTGAAGAACCAAAGGATCAGACCAGTTCCTCTGCTCTCTGGGGAATGGAATCAGAATGGGATTCGCCCACTGCCTGTGTCCTATTCTTACTCCAAGACACCTAAGTGGGAAGAGGGCCCTGCTGGCCAGAGGCCTGAAGTTGGATAACTTCTAGAAGGTTCTGCCAGATGCAGATCTGATTCAACATTTCTTTCTGATTCCCTCCCTGCTCACTCAGTGAAACAGAAGGCAGTTTGTCAAGGAAAAGTGGCCCCAAGAAGCTGGCTGGCCGGGGTGTCCATGGATGGAACTGCCTCCCATGGCTGTGCCCACCTGCATCCCAATAGAGGGATGGACCCTGCTCTCTTCTGCTCACTGAGCACAATCTCCTGCCTCAGAGCTATGGGCAGGTACCTCCTCCCTTCTATAGGTCCCTCCACCTCACCCTCAGCACCTCCCACCCCAAGGAGGGGACCAGCCACATCGGAGGAGGTTGCGGGAAAGGGTCCTGCTGTTAATATTCAGAGAATGGGAGGCCCAGGGGCCCTCTTACCTGGCAGAAATGTTGCTGTAGTGCATGTAAGCCGCGATGACAACACCTATCCTGCCTCGGTTTCCCTGAAAGAGCCCCCAAACATAAATACCTTTATTCCTAAGGCCAGCTCCATTGCCCCAGAGCCCATCTAGAAGCCTTGGAGAAAAGGGGGCAGTGGCTGGAAAAAGGGGTGTGGTTCTAAGAGAGAACAGCAGGAGGGGGAGGGAAGCAGGTGGAAGCTGACTTTCCAAGGGAAGAAACACAGCTGATCATCCTCTGCACGAGAGGGACCCACACACTGGTATTCTCCCCTTCTTGAGAGTACACCCGAGACAGAACCTATTATCCCCTGAAAGGACCGTATACACAGACAGGTTTGTACGCTCACACAATCCAATGGTACAAGCAGGAATACATGCTCTGCCAAGAACACACCCATGGGTGTGTGTGTGCATGTGCCCCATGCGTACACACACATGCTCACTCACAAGCTGCAGGCCCTGCTCTCACCTTATTGTGCAGAACGATGACATTGTGGGGGTCTGCATTGAGCCAAGTGTCCATGGCCTTGCAGACACTGCAGATCTTCTCCAGGGCTGGGCTATGGAGGTCGGGCCAGCCAAATTCCAGGACCTGTGGCCCAAGCCATGAGGGAGAAGTGGCAGAAACTCAAGTCAACGAGGGAAGCAGGGGCAGCACACAGCTCACGTGGCAGGACCAGGGCAGCAGCCAGCAGCAGCCAGGCCTCAGTTCCTGCCCTGCCCACCAGCCCAGCTGGGAGCTAAGGGTGTAAAGGCAAAGGACAGTGGCCAGGATAAGAGACCCTGGGTCCAATTCTTGGCTCGGACACTGGCCCACTGCATGGCCTCAGGCAAGTCACAGCCCCTTTCCCAGCCTGTTTCTTCATATGTGCATAAAACAAAGGCTTGAAGCCAATAATGCCAAGGTCCCTCCTATATGATTCTGAGCTCAAAATGTGCTGGGGCTCCCCAAGTTGCCCCCAAGCTCTCCTCCCACAGACAACCCCAAGGGACGGCACAGGGCCAAAGAGAAAAAGTGAGGGGCTCCCTGCTGTTCACAGCTCTTATCCAGACCCTGGATACACAAACCATCAATTTTTCAGGCTGGGGGAGAGAAGCCTGAAGGAGATAGAGGGTAAATCTGAATGGCAATCTTCAGACTCCTCAATACGTTTCTTAAATCACAGTCCATTAAAATAAAAGAGAACTTGTGTGTGGAATGGCCCAGACAGCACATTAACCCAGCCCACCCACTTTCAGAGGGGCAAACTGATGCTTGCCCAGGGTCACACAGCCAGAATCCAGAAGCAGACAGCTGGGCAGAGCCCCAAACACAGCTCACAGAGGTGCAAACTAGCTATGGGAATGTCCACACTGGCAATTCCCAGCTAGTTGAAATCCAAAATAGTTCTCAATAAAAGTAAAAATCTCATAGTTCCAGCCTCACTCCAGAGATTACATGTGTACCCCAGGGGCCAGACCTGGGTAGGAAATTGCTGTACCAAGCTTTGCTCTCTGTAATTTGTATTACAGAATTTATAATACACTTGTATTTTGTAATTTTTATAAGCTTTGTTACTTATAATTTGTATATGGAAACAATATATACAGTATTTCCCATTTTCCAAATAGAAGGTGGCACTGTAACGTCAAATAGGCTTTTCAAACTGTCATAGCCCCCTCCCCCAGGATTCCCCCTTCTTGTTCAGGTGGGGAGAAGCCCCCACCCCTAATCATCATGGCTCACCTTGGCGTGGAGCTTCGTGATGTCAGGTCTGCGCTCAGAGAGGTTGAAAAGCTAGAAGGAGGACAAGAAAGTTACTCTAAGATATCTGCTGCTCTCCTGCTCCCTCCCTCTCTCTCTCCCTCTCTCTCTCTCTCTCCTGGTGAAATTCTACCCATACATGAGCTTACAGCAGAGTCCCACAAGGCACCACACTGATGGAGTCCACATCAGGAACCAAGAGGAGTTCAACTATAGGTCCCCAGGGTAAAGAGGGGCAGAGAGAGAAAGAAGGAAGCAGCCCCTCAGCCACTGCCCTCAGCAAGTGGGCTGACATCCGGGACTGACAAGGAGAGGGGATGGAACCTGTCTCCAGTCCTGGGCCACCCCAAGGTTGATATTTCCCCATACTGAGTGGGAATCCAGTAGTGCTAAATGATTAAGTATTTGGCCATCTCTGGTTTCCATTTCATGCGCTGACTTTAGAACCTCACCCAATGAAGATGCAATGGCTCTGTGGTCAGACACCCTCCATCCGAGGGTGCAGATCATCCTGGGTGGGCCCTCCCGAGCCCTCCCAAATCCTTGACACCCTGTTCCCAGCAGATGCTCTCTGACACCTAGCCATATGCTGTGGGAATCCCTCAATTACTGAAATTCCTGTCTCCACCTCCAAAGGTGTGCAGAGCCTCCCACCTCCACCTCATCACCTGGGAAACTCAAAGACTTCTGAGCCATCTCTGGGGAGAAAAGAGGGCTTCGCTGTCTGGGACGAGCACAATGGAGGGAGCGTGTCAGAGCACAGAGACCCAAGGAAGCTTGGGCTCCTGAAATCAGGGATGATCTTAGATGGCTTCTAGTCCACTCTTGACCCTACAATGGAACACACTTTACTACGTTAACAACGGTGGGCGCTCAGGTGTCCACAACCTGCCAGACCATGCTGAGGACTTCACATCTAACAGGCTGGTTTAATTCTCTCAACAACCACAAGAGGTATGTAGTGTTATTAGACCCATTTTACAGATGGAGAGTCTAAGGCTCAATGGGGCTAAGTGGCCAAGATCAGATAGTAAGAGAAGAGCCAGCATTCAAACCCAGGAATTTCTAGTGTGCAAAGCCAGGCTCTTTGCAATGCCCACCACAGCTGCTGGTTGGACCTCTGTAGTGGGCTGACTAGTGTCCCACAAAAATTTGCATCCACCTGGAACTTCAGAATGTGACCTTATTTGGAAATCAGGCCTTTGCTGATGTAAGCAGTTAAGGATCTTGAGATGAGATCATCCTGGATTCAGGGTGGGCCCTAGATCTGATGACTGGTGTCCTTATAAGAAGAAGAGAGGACACAGAGAGACATAGAAAGAAGGAAGGCCATGTGATGAGACAGAGGCAGAGCGTGGGGTGAGGGAGCTACAAGCCAAGTCACCAAGGATTGCTGGGAGCTGCTGGAAATTAGGAAGAGGCAAAGCAGGGTCTCCCTAGATCCCTCGGAGGGAGTATGGCCTGCCAGCATTTTGATTTGAACTTCCAACCTCCAGGACTATGAAAAACTTAACTCTATTGTTTTAAGACACCAAATTTGTGGTCATTTGTTATAGTATCCCTAGGGACCTGATACAGCCTCCCTTACCCGGCCTCTGTCCAAATTCTCTGGCAGCCCCTTGAGGTTGCATGATCTGGTCCAGGGTCCAGCCACTTGTACTTCCCTGTAGAGTGGACCCAGGTTCTCCTCTGGGGCCAAGGACAGGTCATCCCCCAAGCCAAACTCTTGACATCAGACATCACTGTCGGCTACCTATCCACATTTGTTAGGTGATTCTCCAGGGACAAGTACAATCTGGGAGCCAGCAACACAAGGCACCTTACAATGCACATTGTCACAACTCTACCTTAGATTTCTCAGAGGCACTGACAGTACGCCAGCTCTTTTGCTCCCTACATGCTGTGACCTCAGGCAAACAGCAAATCTGTGCTCCAGCCAAACCTGCCTTCTAGGGCAGTCGGGAAGTAAACACATGGAAAGCAGTTAGAATGGGGCCTGCCTCATAGCAAATGCTCAGTAGCATGAGCTCCTGTTGTTAGTCTCTCCTGATCAACACATGCACATATGCATGCCTGCACATGCACATACGTGTGCACATATGCACACATGTGCATACACAAGCAACTTGGTTCCAGGTGCTGCATTCCTGCTGCACAAACACTCCTTGCCCCAGAGTTGGGCTTGAAAGTGAGTAAAGACTCAGGGCAAAAGAAATGCCCAGGCCTCCAGCCCCACCTCAGATAACCCATCTGCTCCCTGTTGCTGTAATCGGCTTGCTTCCTCTAGAGCATCGTATGTCCATGCTTCTGTTTGGCTTCTTTCCCCCCAGCATTGCATTTCTGAGATTCACTCTTGTGTGTATCAATGATTCTGTCTTTCTCTTCACTGTATAGTATTTCACTGGGGGACCACAGTACAGTTTGTCCATTTCCCCATGGAGGATGTTTGAGTTGCTTCTAGAATGGGTCTGTTATGAATAAAACTGCCATAAACAAACAAACAAAAAAAAGAAATGCCCAGGGCCAAGGGCAGGTGAACAAGGAGCAGAGGAAGAGCTGGCCCAGGGACCACTGGGCAGAGGCACAGCAGTGAGGAAGCGGCAAGAAGAAAGGATGGGGGCACTGGACCAGCAGGCAGGAGGCCACGTGCTCACCAGGTAACTGCCTCCATGTTTGGACTTGAGCATCTGGGCCACCTCGCGGAGGTTGCTCCGGAAGTTCTCCTCATTGGCTGTGCTGGGAAAGGAGACGGCGATGATCCTCTCTGTGACATACACCAGGTCCAGCTCACAGCTGTCCTCCATGGTCCGGCTCACACTCATGTTTCTGCAGAGACAGTAGGCAGAGGGGGTCCAGATCAAAATGCAGGCCCCCAGGGCAAAATCCAGCTATCTCTATGCCCTATACACCTTATGAGGCCCCCAAAGCCCACCTAGGGAGCTTGGCTGCCCCCTGACCCAGAACCAAGGCCTTCCCTGGCAGGCCAGCACAGCCAGCAGGGGCAGCTGAGGAGCGCCAGAGAGAATTCAACTGAGCAGAGGCTAGCAAGGCTCTCAGCCCATTTCAGAACCAAACAGTGATGATGCCAATCCTAGGTAGCCATCAGTTCCCTTGCCACTGCCTTCACCCTGTGATCCCAGAGGTCAGAGCCGGGGATAGAACCGGCCAGGAACCCAGGAGTCCAGCTCAGCCTCCTGACACACCGAGGCACCCTAGCTGGCCTGGCAGAAGTCTCTCAAAGGATCCTGGGACAGAACCAAGTGGTCTCCCAGAGAGCATCCTGGAGCTGAGCCTCCTGCTGACCTCCCCTTGCTCCAACGCTGTGGGGTGGGTGGGGAGGCCACTCAGGGAAAAGGGCAGCTCAGGTGACAGGCCCACCTGGACTCCACGGAAGCCAGACCACAGTACAAATTCCAGCCCTCCCCGGAGGCAGGCCGGCTCCTGCCCTTTGTTCCCTGACTCTCCCCACGTCTGGCAGCTCCCCGCGCCTGCCAGGGCTGCGTCTTCACAGCCTAAAGGCTCAGGCAGCAGAGGGTGTTTCCCCCAGACATTCCAGCACCACGTGGGCTCCTCAGAGAGATGGGGATCCCCTGGACTGGGCACTGGTGAGGGGAGCTGGGGGTTCACCCCTTTACACCTCATCCAGCTTCTCTTCCAGGGAGAGGATACCAGGTGCCCAATGGGGAGCTGACAGAAAAGGCAAATGGGTCTTGGGATAGGGGGATTCCATTCTGAAGCCCCTGAGTAGCTTCTGGGGCACCTCATCCTCCCCACCCCACCCCTTCTTACCCCATCACCAGCCTCCTAGTGTCACACTTCCCCTCTACCCAAGGTAGGCAATACCTCACATTTCATCTTGATAATCTTTCACTATGTGGGAGGTGGGGGGTAAAGTTGAGTCTGGAGGGGCAAGGGAAGGAATACCACTGGGGTATTTCAAAGTGACTGAGTGGCACTGGGGGCCCCAGGACATAGAGAAGCAGGGCAGAATCCAGATCTCCACCACGGTTAACTCTGAGCCCAACTGTGTAGGTGGGGCTCGAGATAGAGGACCCAAGGGTGATGTACATCTTCTCTGTGGTGGTGATGACAGGGACCAAGTAGTAGAGGGGTCAGTGGGCTGCAGTAAGGAGCCCAAGTTGAATTTGACCTCTGAGCCTAGCCCTTTCCTTGTCCCTAAGATAAGGCTCTCACTGGCAGAACAGCGCCCCTGCCTGGACAACGTCAGCATCACATACTGCACAGGCCCACCCTGAGGTGGTCCTCAGCTGTAAAGGAGGCAGGGGCGCCCCCAAAGGGCCACTCCCACCTGTGGACAGCTGGCAGCGTTACAACCCACCTGTGGCTGGGGCTCCATCTCCCTGGAGCCAGGTGTTTGCTCATCTTGGGAGCCTCAGGGGTGAAGGTGAGGCAGAGAGGGAAGGGCTCCAGCCGGAGAGCCAGAGAATGTGGGTGCCCAGACAAGAGACTCCGGATCACTTGGCGCCAAGCCTGCTGTACATCCCCTCCCGCGAGCCTCACAGCCCTTTTACAGGGAACTTTCCTTTTATAAATGACCCTCCAGCATCAGAAACCCCTGCCCTTGGGAAGGAGTGAGATCTAGCACAGGCCTTGATGCCAGTCAGTCCTAAATGCTACCTCTTTGTGGTCATGTGACCTTCAACAAGGCACCTCATCTCTCTAAGACTCAGTTTCTTCACCTGCCAAATGGGAATAAAATACTTATCTTGCAGGGTTGTTGCAAGAACTAGATGAAATCATGCAGGTCAATAAATAACACAACTTCAGGCCCGGCTTCAAGCTAGAACTCAAAACATGACCATTTCCACGTGGCATCTCCACATCCTCTCCCTGTGGCTTTCACATCCACCCATGCTCCCTTCCGGTGGCTCTAAGACTTCGGCCTCAGAGACCCAAAGGCAAAATCTGCTAATAACAGCCACGGGAACCTCCCTGCTGTCACCCTGCACCCCCTACTCTCCATAGGCCCAGCATACCTGGTGTGCTGGGGATGGGACTGGACACTCGGTGTGACTCTGGTGGGGACCTGGTAAAGAGAAAAGAGAAGCAGCATTATGGGGGAGGCAGGCAGAGGGTTGTCTGTGGGAGCCATGGGCAAAGACAGATTCTCTTCTCCTTTCTCTGCTAACATTCTAACTGAGCACCGTAACCCCTACCCCAGCGACACTATGACCTCAAGCCAAAAGCAATCAATGCCAATTCCACAGGACTGTGCCTGCATGCTCAAGCCCCCAAAGGGATGGGCTTTCCTCTCTGGGCAAGGAAGAAATCCCAGGTGCTGAGAAATGCACCATGCCTGGGCTGGTGCCATCTGCACTGAGTATACTCAATAAAACCATTACTAAATTGAGGGAAATACATTCATCCTGATTCCCTGGACATCATAATAGTAACTCAAGTGGAGAACATAGACCACAAGCATGAACAACAGAAAGGTGAGTGGTGGCACCCTTCTGTCCAGCTCAGAACCTTTCTCCTCCCACCAACATCCTCCCACACTTCTTTACAGCAGCAACACTGAGCCAGCCAATCAAAAGTTTTAAGATGAGAGCAGCCAGGTGTGGTATATACCAATGGACACCAGTGCTATGCAGCAAATCGTGCTCCGAAGGATGCACCCCCACTGTCTGTTACCCCCTCACCCACTCCTACTTCTAGTTTGTCAACTTGCAACTAACAAAGTTAGGCAAATTAACCCGTTGTCTAAAACCTCCTGCAGCAACCATGTGGCACAGGTATGACAGCACAGGTCAGAGGCTGCTGGCCAGCCTTGCATTACTTAACACTCTGAGCCTCTGGAATGTCACATGTGAAATGGGGTGATCCTTACAGGGTTGTTTGAGCATTATAAGGAATTATGCATGTAAGGCACTTAGATGTTGTTACTGTTTGTGCATTGAATACAGTTAAAAGGATAGTTAGAGTAAATAGTAGTTAGTAGTAAATACTCACCTCTATAGAAAAGAAAAAACCCTGCATATATAGAGAATCAAAGCCCTGCACCACCTCTACCACCAGCTGCCGCCCGTCCTTGCAGCCACCCCACACAGTACAGAATCCAAAACCCAACTTCCAGATTTGCAGGCCCAGCTGAAGCCCTCTGAGCCCACTAGCATCTTCCAAACATGCTTGCTCCTCCCAGACACTGGCCTTTCACTGGTTACACTAAGTTGCAGCCACCTCTTGGAGGAAATAAGACCCCAATCGGCCAAGGCAAGGAGAAACTGAGGCACATGGTGACTCACCCCAAGTCCCAGCGAAGCTGACACCACCAAGACTCACCCTCAGACCTCGGGTTTGACCACTGGGGTCCCCAAGAAGAGGAGCCCCCTTTAGCCTTCTCCAGACCCCTGAAACACCTACTGGGCAGGAGTGGGTGAGCTCAAGTGAACCCAAAGTTAGGGCAGCCCTTCTGAGAGGAGGACGCTCCATCCAGCTGCCCATAAGGATCTGTGCCCAGAGTCCCCTCTGCCTGGGCTAGGGCTCAGCTCTGAACAGCTTAGCCTCCACAGCAGCGAGGAGAAGCAGCCAAGTGGGGCTGTCAGGGCAGAAAGTTTCTGTCCCCACAGTCCTCCCGACCCTGGGGACCTGGGCTCGCATGAGTCAGGCATTGTGGGGAGGCGGGGCAAGGAGGGACTGTTTGGTTTTCAAGCCCCACCAGGCTGTTCCAAAACTACCCGCGCAGAGGAACACAGAAGCCCCACACTTCATCCATCTCCATTTCGCTGGTCTCTAATGAGGAGCTGCTGAACCTCCCCAGGCCCTGGACCACGCTCCAGACCCCAGGGCCACCTGCTATTAATAGCCCCTTGGGCTTCATCTGTTGCTGATCTACAGCCACTTTTGGAAGAGGCCACACAGCTGCTTCAAACAACTGGAAGCCACAACTGTAGCCAAGGCTTGAGGTGTGGCCAGGACCAGGGGTCCAGGCCCAGGTTGCTGCAGGGAGACTATGTGACAATGAGACAGGCTTGGTGAGGGGGCTTGGGATCCAAGGGGAGCCAGGGGCCTCCACAGGCACCGAGGTGAAAAGGATGAGCAGGGCAGGATTGCTGGTTCCCGTTTCTCCACCCTACCCCCACCACGGTTACAACACTCCACATTCCTCAGCCTCCCCACCCCAAAAAAGTCAGGGAAGATAAATAAAAACTTGGCCCCAACAGAGTCTGGCCATGCCGTCTCCAGAGGTGATAAGACAAAGTCCAAGCCGGCTCTGCTCCACCATTGGCCAGGGACAGGGAGGCAGGGTAGGAAGCTGCCCTGGACAGTGACCCCACCGCGGAGGACAGGGACGAGCAGCCGGACAGTCATCTCCTGATGAATCACTGGGCTGCCCTCTAACTGATGGGGCTTCCTGTTTTCTGCAAAGTTTGGGGGCATGTGACACTCACTGGCAGAAAGCAGACATGCATGGGTGAGTGTTGGCACACCCATGGCACACATCTGAGTGTTGGTAGACAAGGAGCCACAGGAGAATGCAGAGAACTGCAATTGGTGGCGGGGGGAATGTGTAAGTAAACACAACCTAATGCTCAAAAAAACACAGGTGACCTCACACACAACGCTGGAGACTAGAGACGGGTGCCTTCCGCAGCATGCCTAATCATGCAAGCCTCTTTTAAGAGGGCTGGAGTAAGTCAGGAAACCCAGTCATCTCTGCTACCATCACTGTGCTCACCCCCCTGTTCAGTAAGCCCTCATGGAGGCCACTGGCTGTGTTCTAGGTATGGGAGCCAGAGGAGGTGTAGTCCCTGACCTCAGGGAGCTTATGTTCTATGAAGGAACATACACTTCATCAGATTGTGTAAGAAATAGCCACTTGGTCCCACTGACCAATCTATAAAATGGGTACAATACAGTGCTCATGTGATTTTGCCTGATTGACCTGTTCCACTTAGAACCCTTAGGGAAAACTACCAGAGGGCTTTACAAAGAGTACTACAAAGATTTTACTTTAAAAAGAAAAATAAGCTCTCTGTCTGCCAGACCTCCCTCTCTAGGGGTCTCAAAGCTCTTTACCCACATGGCTTTGAACTTCCTCCCAGCTCCTCACAGATCAATCATAGAACTTTTGATCCAACTCCCTGGGCACCAAGAACTCTCCCTCTGGTTCATCACCAAAACACAGCCTCTCTTCTGCTAACAGGACACCATGAAAGGAAATTCCACAGCCTCTCTAAAACAGTGCCTTTCTTCTCATACTATCAGGAAGTTACTCCTGGTATCTAAGCCTCACTTTTCCTGCTGCAGAGGCGGCCAACTTTCTGCCTTGGCCCTCACTACTGATCGCCACTCAGACGCTCCTGCAGGGCTCAAGGTCTACAACTCTAGGTCCGTTATGCCCATCTCCACATAGCAGCAATGAGTGGGAGCCCTAGGACTTGGGCGGGGTCGAGTAGGGCAATGACTATGTTGGAAGCGTCCTGCCTTCCTTTGAGGTCCACAGACTAAGCACAACAGCTCTGGACCAGAAGAAAAGCCGTTTCCTGAGCCCCAGTCCCAAGGGGGCACACTGGGAGGAGGGTCTGTAAGCAACACCAGGGGCCAAGTCAGGCCACCAGAGCTCAGTGACCAGTCTACGTCAGGGGCCCATCCCCATTCCTACATCTCCTCTGGGGGCTGTGGACACCCTCTCCCCTCCACACCAGCCCCTGCAGCCACACCCCTTCCTCTCTCCTTCCTGCCCACCAGCCTGGATTTTTCCAAAACAAAGTGCGACACAGCATACCATCCACAATCCACTACACACCAACTCTGTCAAAGGAAAACAGCCACCCCTGCCCTGTGAGTCCTGGGCTGTGGGCCAGAGACAGGAAAACAGCTCAACAAATAGGCACATTACCAGAGCAGCAGGCTCGGGGCTGCAACTGTGCACCTTGAAAGTGGGTCTCCCCATGTGGGGCAGACTGCAGGAGGGCCCAGGGGTGGGGCAGGGCACCAACTCAATGTGCCTGGGGTCACTCAACCTGGGACAGACCTGGGACCCCTAAAAATTAGTTGTTCTCTCCTCTTTTACAATAAGTAGGCCATTATGGAATCTGCTCACTTGCCCAACCTTTCATATATCCCCCTTAACTAGACTAAGTAGACCCTAATTCATCTGGTCCCTCCTCCCATATACAGACAAGACACCATCCTTACCCACCCCTATCCATCCCGACACACAGCCACACACACACGTTCATCCCAGATCAACAAAACCTTCTTATAAAAAAGTATCCAGCCTCAACTAAATGGACACCTCTTTCTTCCCCAGGACCAAGGTCATATACTCTATTAAGTCAGGAAGTTCCTCATGGTGTCTAGCTTCAGTCTCTCTTGCTGCAGCTTTACCTTACAGGATGTGTCTGGTCCAGGCTGGCATGGTGGGAAGCAGCAGTTCTAGGACTGCCCAGATCATTGGCTACATGATTCACACACCATCACCCTGACACCCCACACCAAGAGGTGGGAGTCCTGGGTAACACAAGATTCAAGCAGCAGTCCCAAGCAGGGATGGAAAAAGCAATCACTGAGTCACTGAGCCCCTCCAAGCCTGTTTCCTCTTCTACAGAATAGCTCCATAGTAATTGCCAAGGAGGTGTTCATGGAAATAAAAAAAAATACCTCACTCAGCTCCTGGCCCTTAGTCAAAATAGCAGTAATAAGAATGGCTCACATTTATTGAGGACATATTATATGCTTTGTGTGCATTAAGCTAGTTAATGCTCAGCAGCAGGCATGCAGAAAAAAGTAGTTTCTTCCCCGTACCCCAATTCCAAAAATATCACAAACTTGGACAAGGGTGCCGCCCCAACGTGTGTACTCCGTCTGTACCCACAGGACCCGTGCATACCTTGAACAGATCCTTCCCCACTAATTCAAGAGACATGCCTCTGCTCCTCCTGGATGGCCCGTGAGGCCTGGGGGGTCTCCACCGTGCAGGGCTGCCCCAGGGCAATGTGGTGGTAGCAGTAGGCTCACCACAGAAGTACGGCTGCCTGCAGGAGCTGCCCCCTGCTCCCCCAGCACCTCCCTCCAGGGCCTCCCCACTATGGGTCAGGCAGCTGTCAGATGATAGGGCCTCACGCCATCAACAGCTCCCCCTGTGCCAACCGCCAAAACCACTCCCTGTTCCTCTGCAGATCAGGGAGGGTGAGGATGGAGAGGCCAGCATAGGAGCAAACTGTCAGAGAAGGGCAGGGAAGAAAAAGAAAAGCCCAACTTGGTGGGGCTTCAACTGCTGGGGTGTGCAGACAAGCCCACACATGAACATTGCCCAAAGCAGGGTCCTAGGAGAGCCCCTCTGCCCTTTCCTGGGACCCTTCCATTTAAGTAATTTGCCCACTGACCTCCACCAAAATGCATGGCAGGAGGAACCCAGGGGGATTAGCTGGCCCATTGCCAGCTTCCTCCCGAATCAATGGCACTGAAGCCACACAGAGGATTTTGCTATTTACAAAGACTGTTCCCTCCAAAGTAACAGAGCCTGCCATTCCCCAGGGTGGGATGACCCACTGAGAGCCCAGGAGTCCTTCTTCACCTCTTTCCTTATCCCTCTTGCTGCAAGTTTGCCACACTCCCGAGCCCCTACCTCGGTGAGGCTCACCACCACACCAGGCCTCACAGAGCACGCCCTTTCTCTCTGCTCCCTCCACCCCCTGGAGGACTGAGGTCCGGCAAAGTGATGGCCAAATGAGCTCTGGGCCCAGCTGAGCTGGAGGCCGAAGCCAAGACGGAGGCCCAGCACATAAATGGGGTTGGCTCACCACCCCAACCCCTCCTCTCCTGCTCAGCCATCAAGCTGAGTGACCCTGCCGGCCCTTCTGGAGAGGAGGCAAGGGACATACGTACCACCACACATGACAGGGGTGACATCACCTATCTCCCCCATGCCCCAGGCACCAGCGTCCAGCCACATCTTTCCTCTTGCCCTCCCCCTACTTACTTCTCCCTCAAGGCTTTTCTGTGTGTTTCCACCCCGGAAAGCTCCTTCTCCCTGGAGGCAGAGAACAGGCAGAGAGGGGAGTCAAGGAAAGTTATGAAAAGGCACCCAGGTCCTTCACCTGCTGGGTTGATGGAAGGGCCTGGGAAGGGACTTGTTTGTTTAACATCTCATCTCTTTGTCCACTAAAGGCCCCTCAGAGCAACCAAACCCTCTCATCTGTACCTCACAGCCATTCCTGGGGGACATGTTATTATTCCCATTTTGCAAGAAGAAAACTGAGGCACACTCAGGTCATGACTTGCCTACAGTCATACAGTCAGAACCCTGCAGGACTTAGGATTTGAACCCAAGCCCATTATTATGTGCCAGCCATTAACAGGAGATGCCCTATGCTGCTAACCTCAGTTTCCCCACTATAGGGCCCACATACTTTCTTCCCTTCCTCCTCCACACAGCCTCAAGGAAATTCTCTGTCCCCCTTCTAAGCTAGAAAGATCTGCTTGGAAAGATCTGCCTGGCTTTCTCATACAAGAAGCCTACATTTAACCACTGGCCTCTTCCTCTCAGCCCCGAGCCCTGCGTCTCCCTCTGTACCTGCCTACAACCCTAGCAGTCTGTTTCCTGATACACAAGTAATGGTCAGATGCCCGGCTCCCAATCTGACTCACATCCCCCACCACTTCCCCTCAAGAGCCCCCAGATCTCCTCCAGAAGGATGTTCCCAAGCACATCTGTCCACTTCCCCCAAGCCCACCTTCTGCTTTCGGGCCTCCCCACACTGGCCCAGGCTGTTCCCCACCATTCTGCCCCACCAGCTGTCACTCACCGTGTCCCCTACATTCTTCGGTGCACTCTCAGTGTTGATGGGCTGCGGACAAAGGGAGAAACCGTATGAGGCCTCAGGGGAGACATCCCTGGGTTGGCTCTCTCCCCAGGGCTGGCGGCCATGGTGGGCAGAATGCCTCCCCAGGCAGAGCCCACGACACCAACCCAAGACTCAGACGTAACCTGGCTGGACCCGAGCTTGGGAGGCAGAGTTTAGAACATGTAAAACGACCCTATTGTACTAGAACCATCCAACACAACAAACCTCACCAAAGCCTCTGACTCAGACAGTTGCTGAGCCCTCAAAAAGGAATAAGGAACAAGTGAAAGTCACTCTTGTTCCCCCATGCCGGGCATTTATTTACCATCTCATTTATTTACAAGAACTCAGTGAGGCAGACGTCATTATTACCTTTAAGCTCTACTTTGCAGATAAGTTAAATAGTGGCCCAAAGTCATCAACTACTAATGGGACAACAGGATCTGAACCCTGTTTTGGACTCTGCAATTCATGCCTTTTGTGGGAAGCCACGGCAGCCCAGGGTGAGAGGCCTGCCAGAGTTCTGACTCTTCAGTGAGCTTCCAAGGCTCCCCATCACTGGCCCTGGCCCCCCATGTGGGCCTCAACTTCCATTCCCAAAAGCTCTGCTCTATCCAGACCTGCCCGCTAGGACCCCGTTGCTTATTCCCACCTCCAGGTCGGTGTTTATGGAACAGCTTTCCTTTTCTGTACAAGCTCTCCTCCTCCAGGAAGCCCCTCCTGAACACCCCAGCAAGGGGGGCTCTCTCCCACCTCAGAATTCCAATAAGCTTTGCTGTCTGTGCCTCTTATCTGCTCCTTAGCATATGAATAATCTCCTCCTTGTCATATGTCTTCTTCCCCAACTATTGTTTGTGATTCTTATCCCGCCTGCCTCTAAGACAGACTCAAAGCAGTATTTTTACCAACTCAGCTGCCATATCCTTCATGCTAGCCACTGTGAGTTACGTGTACTGGGCCATCAATAAATGCCTATGGACTGATCCCTCACCTGGTGCCACCCTTTCCCTGCCCAAACTAGAAGTGGTCCCTACAAAGGCATCCTGAAAAGTAGGCTCCTCAGACTCCATTCCAGGGCCACCTCTTGGCCACAGTGTCTAGGGCTCTGTTCTCAACTCGGTGGAGAGGTTGCAGGGGCCCTCAAGTCACCCAGAAGGCCATGAGCGTGACCGTAAAGGTTATGAAACAAGCCTTTGCCAAGGCACGGACCAAGTTAAGACAGAGTATCTCAGAATAGGAAAAACCTGCCCCAGCCCCATTCCTGGGGCCTGAAGGGAGAGCTGCTTGTGTTTGAAGGCAGGGGAATGGACAGAATGACCTTTTAAAGTTCTGGTACTGGGGAGAAGAGCTGGAGCCAAGATGGGTATGGAGGAAGACAGCAGGCAGAGCTCAAGGGAGCCGGGCTCTTTCTGGAAATGGCCCAGGCTCTGGAAATGCCTGGCAGATGGGAGGCTGCGGCCAAAGCTTCTCTTCAGGGGAAGAAACTTCCTCAGTAGGTCAGGGCTGAGGCTGCCTAGGACAGGTAGGAGAGGACAGCGTCCAGCAACCATGTAGGAAATGGAGAGGCACGTCAGCCAGCCGCTCCTGGGTCCCAGGCAGGCCCACCTCGAAGGGGAGGATCACTCTGGAGGAGCAAAGATGCTGCCTTCTGTCCCCTCCCAGCCCAGCCCTAATCCTCACCCGGCCCCCTCCCAGAGCCCCCACTCCTGAGCCACTGGCCACCCGGCAGGAGGAGGAATGAGCCCTCTGGGAAAGCCCAGGGATCCCTCCCCAGGCTGAGCTCTGGGACCTGCCTGCTGATTGGGGCCCGGTTCTCCCCTCAGCCTCCAGCAACCGTCCGGTGCCTCCTGGGGAGCTCTCTGCTGCAGTGCCAGCAGCCTGCCCCTGGCCCCTGCCTAGCTCCTCCAGTCCAAGGGCTCAGGAACAGTCCAGTGCAGACCATGGCTGGGCAGGTCCGCCTAACTGCCTCTACTCCAAGGGGCTCTGGCCCCCTTGGGGAGGAGGAGAACTCCTGGAGGGCAGATCACAGGGCCTTCTGTGATCGGAGCACCGATCTCCCAGCTCCAAAGCCCTCACTCCAGTCTGTTTAACCAGCCTCCCTAGACAGTGTGGGTCAGATAACACAGAAATGTGGTCAGATAGAGGAGCTGGAAACAAAGTGCCTGCCCCCGGCCATTACAAGCCCTGAAGAGCCCCTCGTCTGCTCTGGGCAAAGCCTCCTAAGAGGCCCCAACTCTTAGCATAGCAGAATGAGACAGGGTGTCTTGAACTTGAATGTGCCCCAGAATCACCTGACAGAGTGTTGACACACGGGTGGCTAGGCCCCAGCAGAGGGTCTAATCCAGGGCACTTACAGTGGGACCTAAGAACATGCACTTATAACAGGTTTCCGGGTGCAGGGATGACACTGAAAACCACTGGCCTAAGCTAACAGCTTTAGCAGCATATTACCAGGGCCCGTCCTGCCACTCTACGTGTGCCCTCGAGCAGGTCATTTTGTCCCTGCTGCTCCTCAACAGCACTGCATGGTGTTATTCTGTGAGAATCAAATGAGATGAACCACACTGAGCACTTAGAACAGGGCCTGGCACTTAGGAAGCTCTCACTAAATGTTAGCTGTTATTTATCATCTCCACCCTGAACACTCCCAAGGCCCAGGCCCTCCCCACCCACCCTACCCCACCTTGACCCTCCTGCCCCACCCCTCCCCAGTGGAGCACAACGCAGACTGGCCAGTCAAGTCAATATTAGAAACCACAAGCCTCAGCAGTGGGAGAGAAACTTCCCTCCCTGCCAGCAATCATCCGAGCACCAGCTCCTCTGTCCCCGCCCCCGCCCCCACCCCGTGCCAGCTGGAGGGGAGCCACGGGGCCAGCCATCAGATGCCTTCAACTTACTGGTCAAGATGCTTTCTGAGGAACTAAAAACTGCCAAAGGCCCCTCCCAACCTAAACAGCCAGCATCTTCCTGCAGTGTTTGCAAACACAGTGTAGCATGCTGCTCAGCTCCCTACCCTCCCAGCCCAGTCCTCCCAGGATTTAAGTTCTGCTTCCCTGGTTCCTGGGGCTGCCAGCCCTGGGGCTACTAGGAACATGCCAGGAAGCTTGGGTGTGCTATGTGGAAGTCCCAGACCACCCTGGCAGAGGCCCATGAGGCCTACCTCCAGCATACAGACTGCACACACACCCACAACCTTCGAACCACTCCTTAGAACATCAGCTCTGAGAGGGGCTTCAGATAGCATCTCCTCCCTCCCCATTTTACAGATAGGAAAACTGAGGTATAGAGAAGGAGGACTAGCCCAGCCTTTCCCAGTGAGGCTCATGGCAGGACCAGGGTTGGCACCCAGGCCTTGTAAAGCCCACCGCTGGGCTCCCTCACTCAGAAGGATGCAGCTGAGGGAGCCCAGGCAGGGGCAACCCCCATCTAGCCCCACCCCCTGCCCAATCCCAGGTGAAACCTGGATCTTAAGGACCCTGTGGCTTTCCAAAGCTGAGGGCAGCCAACTCACCCTGCCAGGGGTCTTCCAGCATCCCCCTGCCCCCTCGCAGATCAACTCTGAATCCTGCCTGGGAGCAGGTGGCAGGGTTTGGACCTGGCACCGCTTGATAGCCACGCCTTGCTCTTCATGGATGCCTCTGCTCTAGAGTCTCAAACTCGGGAGTCCGGAGCCAGGCATGGACAAGGGTGAGCATGGCTTGGGGAGCAAACGTGAGGCAGCAGCTGCGGCTAGACTGCTGAAAGCACAGCCCTACACCCTGAGAGCCCTCTCGGTGCCTCACCTGCCCTACCCCTTCTGGGCCCTGGCCTGGAGATGCCTTTTCAGAATGTTAATGCTGAGTGGTTCACTCAGTGCTAATGACGCCCTGGTCCTAGTGTAGTATCAGGCCTTTCCCTTTTGTGACCATCAACCCTCGTAACCACCCCAGGAGGTAAGCATGGCCCATTCTACAGCTGAACGTCTGAGAGATTCAATAACTTGCCCAAGGTTACGCAGCAACTAGATAGGAGAGCCGGCACATGACCCCCTGCTCCTTCGTTCCCCACCTGCTCATCTCCTCTCCCTGACCAGGATCTTCATTAGAAACTCTTAATCAACTGCCACCCTGTTGGAACCAAGTTTTCTGTGAATTAAAGACTGTCTCAGGTTCCAGAGAAAGGGACTTCTTCAATGCACTTCCATAGAAAGAGGAGGAAATGGGCTGTAATAGGAGAGACTGAGATCAGATAGCAGAGAGAACTTCCTGAGCATGAGGGGTTGTGAACCACAGGGTGGATAAAGGAAGCTGCACATCCTTTCCTCAATTTTTTTTCCAAAAAATAGACATGCATACCCTCTCCATGCCTGCATTTACCCACCCCCCAAGCTGTGTGGGCCTGAGGAGGGGCCAGGAGGGGTTACACAGCTGGGAGGTTGGGGTGGCTGGGGTGACTGCCTGGAGGTTCACACAGTAGGACATGTCCGTGGCCAGCAGGGAGGGTGGGCTGGGAAAAAATGTATCTGTGGGCTGCTGTTTTGGAGGAAGGAAAAGGCAAGAGCTGCAGTGGGTGGGGGGAGGTGCCCAGGCTGGGTTGGGGGGAGGGTGGGGAGACAGCTGGCGGAGTGCAGACTTGGCCTCCAGAGGAACATTCTGTCCAGAAATTCCTCACACCCTTCCCTCTCCCACCCCTCCAGCTCTCCCCACTCTTGCCCTCTGGGAGGCCTGGAATCTGGGCAGATTTTCATGCCAAAAAGACCTCATGATGTCACATCTACCGCCATAAGATGAACTGTGAGGTCACAGGCAGGCGGCCTGTCACCTGGAGGAAGCTAGGGGGAGCTGGGGGATAGTGCCGGTGAGGGCTGGATGGTTCCTCATCCCCAGGACCCAGAGCAAGTTATTCTGGGCTCTGTTGTGCCAAAATAGAACCCTAATGGGAAGGGCAGGAGGTGCCACGTAAGGGGCACTTAGGGGGGGTGGGGCAGGGAATGCCTATGACAGACCCCACGCTGAGACCGACTA